GATCCCCAGCTGCCGCCGCCCGTCCGCCCGCCCGCAGCGGCTACGGTAAGAGCGGCCCCGAGCGCCCGGCGCTCGGCGCAAGGAACCCCGCAGCGGCCCCGGGGAGGGTGCGCTGCCGGCCGGCCTGGGACCCGCCTATCGCGCGGCCCGGCGCCCCGGGGGCTGGTTCTCGGGGACCGGGTGGCCTTGGTGGGGGACCCGGGCCCCGGCTGCTTCGCCGGCTTTTGTGTTTCGGAAGCAAATGCGGGCCTGGGGCGGTGCCTGCCCGGGGCGCCCGACTGAGTTTCGCCCCGTGGGTTGGGGGCACCGGGAGAGCGCTTAAGAGTCGCCTCGGGTTCGGGGTGACTTGGGTGGGGGAAGCGCTGATCCGGGAAGGATCTGGGGGTGTCGGTGCCTGGATCACCTGGGAATCTGCGGCTCCCCGGAACGTGTCACCTGCTTGGCCACGTCTGGGCCCAGCCCGGGGCCCCTGGGCGCTAAGAGGCCAGTAGAGAGCCCCTTCCAAGTGGGGTGCGCACGGCTTCGCCGCCTTTATTTTCTCCTCCTTAAAGCCTTTGGATGAAAGGGTTACCCTAAGCCGTTTGCATGTGTGTTTGAGTTGTATTTTTATTTTTAAGCAAATTTTTAACCTCATAAGACTTGTTAGCCTGCTTTCGATTTCAGCGGAGCCTAAAATAATAGTAGTTGACTACCTACTTATTTAGAAAGTAAAGCGGTGAGCAGTGGTCACTGGAGGCAGAAGTCATTTATTTTAATTCACCAGTTAAGAGCTAGACTTGCTCCCTGCCGTGTGTCTGTGTGGTTATCTGCCTGCCCACACCACCACCAATCGCCAGATACATCTCCGCGTTAAGCTTTATTAAAATTCTGGGTAATCTCACAGTACAGTCAATGTGAACACCGTGTGCCCCGCGGGGAAATAGTCAGACCCTCATTTCTGAGATTAGTCATTCATCTCTCTTTAAACTGATCATTTTCAAAGCAAGAAGCAAACCAACCTTCGAAAGTATTACAGGGTTTTTCCTTCCCAAATTTTACCTAACTACAAACCCATGTTATGTTATATAAGCGATTACCTGCTCTAGCAAGGGCACTGTTGTCAAGGGAATTCTCATCTTAAAATTCATTTTAAAACTCATTCCCAGTCCAGTGTTGCTGCCATTTTCTTTTTCTTCTTTTTGGCTTGAAAGTAGAGATTAGTACCCCAGCAGCCAAAGGATCTAAACTTGAAAAATTGATTTATCTGGAGAGTTTTTACCTGTCCCAGGAGTTGGCAAGCACATTGAATAGAAGGAATGAACTTAAATTTGATTAGCTGTGTGTCTGCCTGAAGCCATTTAGTAGAGTACTTTAATTCTACAGGGTTTTTACAAAACTCATTAAAAGCAGGGCCACAAAAGAATGGCATTCTGTAGCTGGTAATTACAGCTCTTTGTGTGGGAGTGGTAGGCTGCCTTTTCTCCTCCTGTTTGTACACAAAGGCAGAGCAGCTCTTCCTGGCCCTCCACATCTCCCAAAGAGTCACAGAATGGAGGTAACAAGCATCTGCAAATGGAAAGCAAGTGGTGTCTGCCAGGCCCTGCATGGCTGGTGTGCACATCTGTGGGTCTGTCATTGGCAAGTCAACAGGTTACACTGCTGACTTGATCCTGGTAGGTGACATAAGGTTCTATGTTGGAGAGCGTTTCACTTGCTCAAGAGTGCCGAGAAGAGCCTGGTCTAATGGTATTTATGAGCTGTCTGCCCCACCCTGATGTGGTAGGAAAGGACCCATTCCTCCTCATTCATGGTCTGGACTGAAGACCCTACTCGTCTGGGATCTTATCTCCATAGACTCCCCAGCCAGTGACTCCATATCATCAGAACTTAGTTGCTTCATTAATGTCAGGGACTCCAGGCCACTTAGATGAAGGAGGCAGGGTGTAGGGGCATTCAGCATGAGGCTTCACCCTGGGTTGGGTTTGCTAGGTGGTCTGTTATGGTGGCCCTCATAAGTGGGGAATATTGATTTCTGAGTTGAGTATGCGGCAGAGATGATTCAGCAAGGGGAAGATGAGAAACTGCGGAGCCAGGACAGACCCCACCGTGGCTTCTGGGACTGTTGTTCCCTTCAGTGCCCCTCAGCTTCTGTGGGCTTCTGTGACCTTGACCTGCAGCTCTGAGCCCCTAATAGCCTCCCTGTGCCTCCTGCCAACTTGTCTTTCCACCTAGGTGTGTATGAGTGCCTGTCTATGCTTACAAGGTACAAGTATGTGATGTGTGGTGTGTGCATGTGAATGTGCCTGTGTCTCTGCACTTGTGTATGTGTTGAGTGGCAAACTGTTGAGATGTCTGCTTTGATCATAATGTTGTCCATAAAGAGAATACAAGAAAGACCAACAGGAGTTAAATTATTCCAAAGGGCGGGGCGTGGTGGAGACAGAGGCAGGCAAATCTCTGTGGCTTTGAGGCCAGCCTGGTCTACATAGCAAGTTCTAGTCCAGCCAGAGATACATAGTGAGACCCTGTCTCAAAAACCAAACAAAAATAACAACAGAGAAAGTAACTCCAGGAAACAATGCTATTTGCTACTTGTAGAAAGCTCTACCAATTTGCATAGTAATTTTAGGGAAAGTTTTTGGTTGCTAACAGGTGGGCTATTGGGGGGTAATCCCATGGGGCTGGTTGAAGGCTCCAGGTCTACGGGTATGAGGCCCAGAGGGTGGAGCCTTCAGGTAAAGGTGACCTTTGGTGTTTGGAAGCAAGGTCCAGTGACTCAATCTATTTGACACTCTGGCAGTATTATTAAAGTGCCTACTTGACCAACAAGTACTTTTTAAAGCCTTAGAAAAGTTTTTAGCCAACTGCACATCACTAGTTATGCTAAAAATCATCTAACCGGTGAAATTAATTTTACTATAATCTATTCACCGAACCTAATTATTCAAAATATTACATAAGGATCAAGTGAATGTTCAATGTGTTGAGACATTCTTCTTTTTATTCCACCAGCTCCTTAAAAATCTCATGTCCCCTACACTCAGCCTGTCTCGGGTCACGGTGGCCTCGTCCAACACCAGTGGCCACAGGTGGCCAACTGGTGGCTGCCATGTTGGTCAGCCGAGCTCTCGTCTAAACCCGGGTTATCAAACAAGCAGGCCCGGTTCTCTGGAAGAATTACACAGCATTATTACACACAGAGCAGAAGCATTCTGAGCTCCACACCCAGAGCTGAAGGATCTGTGATGTTGTTGGGAGGTGGGGATTCCAGGGGCCTGTGCTTCCTCATATCTTAGAAAAGAACTGGGAGGAGGGGGTCCATGAGAGACTCCTTCCAGCAAGGTTTCCTAATCTGACTCCCATAGTTTCCCAGGCAGGTGACCTGACCGCCCACCCCCCACCCCCACAGCTAACCTTAGGTGCCCAGTTTGAGCTGGCTGTGCCCTGTGCAGACAGAAGACGGTGACCCATGGCCCTGCTTGCTATCAGCTATGTTCTCCCATGGCAGCTGACCATGGAAATACCACTGAAATGCATGCCAGTCTTCTTGCTGTGTTGACCTAGTGTGGAGGCTGGAACCAGCCAGCCAGCCAGTCCGTGGCTCTGTCTGTCACGCTCAAGTGGAACTCCTTGGGAACACTCCCCTTATTATTCTTGAGAGCCACTTTGCCCAAGAGACCCTGGGGAGGACAGCCTTTTAAATAACAATTCCCACGTGCAGGTATATAAACTCCCTGTCACCTGTGGAGTGCATCCCTCCCTCCACCCCGTCAGAGATTAGCTTTGAAATGTGCTCCACTGGTGGCCTCTTTGACATTATTTCTTTTGCTTTTTCTTTCCAGATGAATGACTTTGGAATCAAGAACATGGACCAAGTGGCCCCTGTCGCGAACAGTTTCCGAGGGACGCTGAAGGTGAGTGACCACGTCTCAATTCAGTTTTCTTGACAATTTGAAACTCCATCTCTAGGAGGAAAAAGAAAAACTGAACTGGTCCTAGAAAATGGTTTCTGGCCCTGGCTTTTACATTTTTGATCTGTGTAACTGGCGATTTGTTTACATTCTGGGCCTCCATTTTCTACTCAGTAAAACAGGTATCTTGATACCTTTTATCCTAAACCTCCAGATATGAAAGTCATCAGTTTGTAGATAATGGGGCCTTAGTAGTTCATTCTCGAGGCTTCGTACAGATTGGAGAAAAGAATCCCATGATTCTTGAGAAAATGGCCAGAGAGGCTGTCTCCACTGTCTTTATCCCTTCTGGAGTTTGAAGGTTGATCCAAAAGTGGTTTATTTTATTTTTATTTTAAATAGATTTTTTTTTACACTGCATGTGGTGGCACACACCTTTAATCCCAGCACGGGGGAGGCAAAATCAGGTGGATCTCTGTAAGTTTGGGGCCAGCCTGGACTACATAGCGAGGTCCAGGTCAGCCAGGGCTACATAGTGAGACTCAAAAAAATCTATAACAGAAGGAAAAAAGAAAGAAAACTTTTTTTGCATTCATCCATTTATTTCGTTTGTGCTCACACCGTAGCCTATGCATGTGTGGTCAGAAGAAAACTTTGGGGAGTCGGTTCTCTCCTTCCACTAAGTCATTCCCAGGGATCAAACTCAGATCTGCAAGCTTTACTGACTGAACCATCTTACTAGCCCTGGAAGGCTGTTTATAAACTAAAATGAAAGATCCGAGCTTGCTGCCACTGCTGCTTTCTGGAGGGGCAACGCCCAGAAGGCTCTAGGGAGGCTCGTCTCCCTGGCACGGTGCATCAGCATCATCGGACCAGTTTATATAAACCCCAAACAGATTAAAGATGAAAGGGCTGGCTCCCCAGCATAAACACATGTCATGTTGCTTCTGCCCTGAGTTCCTTTGGGAACATTCTTCTGTAGCACAAACTGACAGTTTCTTTGTGTGTGTGGTGTGTGTGTGTATGTGTTTGTGTGTTTGTTTGCATGTATGGAGACCAGAGGTTGATGCCGAGTCCCTGCTGCTCTTGCACCTTATTTTTTGAGACAGTCTCTCACTAAACCTGGAGCTCACTGAAGGGGTGAGACTAGCTGACTAGCACAATCCAGGCGTCCTCCTGTCTCTGCCTCCCCAGGGCCAGGATTACAGGCTGCACCACCACACGACAAGCTCGGGATTCATCCTTGCCTTGTCTCTTAGTGACCTGGTCTAGTGTTTGCTGCTGTGCACACCAGGCTAGTTGGCCTGTGAGCTTCTGGAAATTCTCCTGTCTCTGAATCCCATCCCAGCACAATGGGATTACAGACTGTATGTGTGTTCTGGGGATCTGAACTCAGGCCTTCCTGCCTGTCCTGCGACTGCTTTCTTCACTGAGCCAACTTTCCGGTGTCCTAAATCGTTTTCCAAAGTTGTTTGCCCACTGGCTATGCATCACAAAAGCCAAGCCTGGCACAGGCAGGTCTTTCTCTTAATAGTAAGGGTCGTCAAACTCAAGTGAGTTTTCTTGTTTAATCTGGTCAGATGTTTTAAGCGTGGCAGGAATTAGGGTAATGAGGCTGAAACCCCACCCCTAAGGGAAAAAAATCCCTCTGTGACTTGAAAGAATTTTCTGATAATCTGTTTGTATTCGGAGAAGAAGCAGTCGTGGCTGAATTTTATGTTGAAATATGTAGCAAGGGTTAGCGCTGTTCTTTCCTTTCCTGGGTTTAAAAAAAGAACCTCCAGAAAGGAACTTCCAGCTAATTGGGCAATGCCTGGGGGGAGGGGTTTTTTTCTTTCCGGTTTTCTTTTTAACATCTATTGAATATTTCACTGAAATTAGCTCTTCATAAACTTCTGGTTAAATCCTCTTCACTGGGCTGCCCTCCTAGGCCCAGGCAGTCTCCAGGCCCTGTTCTGGGAGTTTGGGGGTCCTGGGGGCAGGGCCTTGACTCAGTCTGCTGCTCTCTTTTGCAATGTGTCATTAGCTATGCAACATTTCTGAAAAGAAGGCACACCACTGATTTTATTTGTAAATGTGTGTTACACATTTATTTGCCTATGACTCAACAGATGGGTCATTGTGTTACACATGACATGGGATTTCCAGATTATGTTGGAAAAACAGAACTTTTCTTCACGTTTTCCTAAACTAGCCAAACAGGGATGAAATGGCATTGTCTGGTTCTTACTGGTGCCTCTCCCATCAGAAAGGCTTTTTTTGTAAATGTTGTATGACATTGCTAGCAGTCACCGAGCTGTAAGGTCCTGTCTTTATGCCTGCTCCGATTTCCCTTGAAGTATGGATGGTTTATGTTTAAACCTGTCTTCTTTGGAGATCTGCAGTTGGTTTAAAAGATTCTTTTTTATCATCTTTTTTACTTTCATCAAGTGAAACCTTCAGGAATTTTTCCACACATTACTATTTTCAGAACCACCGGATTGGATAAAGAAAATCTTCTGTTTCATGGCTAGACATTTCAAAGTAACTGCATCCAAAGATAAAAATAGTTCATTATTGTTTGAACTCTCCATTTCTCTTCAGTCCTTTGCCTTCTTTAAACTGTATTACACCAAAAATGCCTTGTCGAGGCATGTTGCTTTTTGTACCAGGGACTGATTAAATTTTTGTTCGATATAACTAGAGGTAGGTGTTGGCAAAAAAAAAAAAATTATCTCTAAAGTTGCTCCCAGCTTGGACTTCTAAGATCCTGTTGTTTTGAGATTTATTTAATGTATTGATTTAAGTTGATTTGGCTGCCAAAATAATCTTCCAGTCAGTTTGACCCTGCGAGGTTAATTAAAGAGTCTAGGGTGAGATGGAATCCATTGGGTTGCTGTGACCCATTCCTTCTTAGGAAATGTTTCCAGTGTGAAGAGGTTATTTACGCATGTTGCCTTAGAACTGCCAATTTCATCAAGGTGCGTGGTGCGGTTAGCCACAGACCACTTGGAAAACGTCATCAAGAGAGTTCACATTGTATTTCCTTTCCTTTTCTGTGTGGCTCTGCAGCGCCAACCAGCCTTTGACACCTTCGATGGCTCCCTATTTGCTGCGTTCCCCTCTCTCAATGAAGAACAAACACTCCAAGAAGTGCCGACAGGCCTGGATTCTATCTCGCAAGGTAATGTGTCCCTCCAACCTGACAGGTGCTGCCTGGCTTCTCTAAGCAGCTCTGTCAACAAAGACATGATCATTTCACAAACACACGATCCTTTGAGAGCCGGGAGTGTTGGTATCTTGGGTCTTGGGTATGAGACGTCTGACAGAAGCCTGGGCCAGGGGAAAGCAGCTTTCCTCCTGGTGAACTGGCTCTTCTGACCACTTCCTGGGTGAGCTGCCACCCCAGGAGCTGGGGAGCGGTTGTCACTCACAGTTGGGGAACCCGTGAGAGTCTGACTGTGGGTGCTTTTGAGAACTTTGTCTCCCTGGTATCTTCTTCAAACAGCAAGCTGTACAAGGTACGCCCTACCTTTTAATTCTGGGTTCACATTCCCAGTCACCCCCTCCCACACTAATACCCTTTTCTTTGGACTCTGAGACCACTACTTATTCTTGCTGATCCTTACCCAGCTAGATTTATTTCCAGAGTGCTTCCTGTTGTGTTTACAAAGGAAAACTAAATCAGATAAAGTCTCTGCCATGGTTGGGAGTTAGTTGGACACATTCCAGTGTTGATTTGTTATTTCAAGTGGGTGCTGGAAAACACAGCCCAGAACAAAATCCATTAAAGCACACATGCTTTCGTAAGCATATCGCATGCTGGTTATTTATCATTCTTAAAATTTTTGAGTGCATCAGATCGTTTTTCCAAAAAGTTGCGGGTGGGCCTGCTTCACAGAGCAGAGTTCTGCCCCTGCCTGTGGTGTCCAGGTCCCAACACTGCAGTGTCATCCGCAAAGTCTACACTCAAGAACCGCGCAGTCGGGTTGTTAAGAAACCACAAACTCTCGCGATGTTTTATATAAGCTTACAGTTCTGTGTTGGGTGGCGTTCATAACCACCCACCCTCTGCTACATGTGGCTTCTGCAGGCTGGGGGTTGAACAGACCTGGAGTCCTTTGAACAAAAGCCTTACAATTTTCTTCATTGTGTAAAAAATTTAAATACACTTAGGTTAGAAATGTCAGTTCTCCGTGCTTCATGAAGCTCTTCAAAATAGAATAAAACTTGATTTTTCTATTTAACATTTTTAGTTTTATATTTTGGGGGACTGTTGAGACAGTCCCGTTATAGAGCCCAGACTGACTTGAAATTCACTGTGTAGCCTAGGCTATCCCCACTACTCTCCTCTCTACCTCCAAAATGCTGAGATTATAGGTGTGTACTACCACACCCAATTCTATTTTATTCTTTTTGTAAGTGTAATTCTAAGATATATGCTTTTTTTTTTTTTTTGGTTCTTAATGTCATTGGTTACTCTTTAAATAGATGTCAGATAATATCTGAAATTATTATGATTAGAGTATTTATACTTTAAAAAGGTTTATTTTATGGTTTGTTTTGTGCTAGTGTTGGGAATCAACCCAGGGCCTCTCACATGCCAGGCGAGTACTCTACCACCAAGCTGCCTCATAGTTTCATTCTCTCAATTTTTTGTTTGTTTTTTGAGATGGGTCTCCCGGCAACCCCTACTGACCTGGAACTCTTTGTATATATGAGGTTGGCCTTGAACTCACAGAGATCCACCTGCCCCCAAGTTTTGGCATTAAAAGTATGTGCCACCATGCCTGGGTCATAGTTCTTAAGGAATCGCGTTAGGCTCTGGGGCTGATCAGAGCTGTTCTCTGCATACGAGGGCTTCTTTCCTAAGCCTCTGTCTACCTTGCTCCCCGAGACCTGACCGCCCTGTGCTTTCTCTCTAGACTCTGCAAGCTGTGAGCTCCCCTTGCTCACTCCCTGCAGCAAGGCCGTGATGAGCCAAGCCTTGAAAGCTACCTTCAGCGGCTTCCACAGGGAGCAGCGGCGCCTCGGCATTCCAAAGAGTAAGTGCTGGGCTTCTGAGGCTGATGGGTCCCCGAAAGACACACGTGCAGCCCAGTCTGCTCCGGACTTGTCTTTAAGCTGCTTGGGGTGATTTGCCAGCATCTGTCCAGTGGTCCTTACTGCACTGTACCTACTGCATTCATTATGTGCATCAGAGGCATCGTTGGTAGTGTTGACCGCGCCTGGCTCCGCATGGTCCTGTCCTGCAGCGCGCAGCGCATCTCGTGGGTTTGGGGCCGTGTCTGTATCTGGTGAATCATTGAGGGCCACTGTGGCCTGTCTGCCTCCTGAATGTTCCCGAATGCTTTCCCACACAGACCCCTGGCTGTGGAGTGAGCAGCAGGTGTGCCAGTGGCTTCTCTGGGCCACCAACGAGTTCAGCCTGGTAAACGTGAATCTTCAGCGGTTCGGCATGAACGGCCAGGTGCTGTGCAACCTCGGCAAGGAGCGCTTTCTGGAGCTGGCGCCTGACTTTGTGGGTGACATCCTCTGGGAACATCTGGAGCAGATGATCAAAGGTAAGGCTGAGTGGCTTGGGCAGGCGGGGACCAGCCAGAGGGTGTGCCCTTCCACCTAGGGCTGCCGAATAGTACAGAATCTATTGCATCAGAACACCCCCAAGCAAGTCAAACACAAGGTGGGGATGACAGGTCTTCATTCCACTGAGGGAAGTGTGCATGGTGTGCACAGAATGCCAGGGGTAGCCACAAGGCTGTAGCCTGAGTCACCAAATTGTTGCCAGGCTGCACTGGCTGTGCCAGCCCACGGACCTCTGATAGGTAGGCCAACGAGGCTGCCAGGTGGGTGAGTACACCCGGCAGCCAAGAGAGACAGGCTACCTGAATGAAAGGCTTTGTGTACGGGGAAGCACTATGGATTTCAGTCAAACTCCCCACGTCCATGAGGAGTCCACGAGGAGATCCCGAGATGAGAGTGTTAAGTTTTAAACTAATAACTGATGGATTCATATGCACATCAGTGTGTTAATACAGAAACAGGTGTTGGACCCACAGAGCCTCACTCACTCTGAAGAAAGTCTTGGCTCCAACTTAAACAGCAGTGGGATCTGCTTAAAAAATACATGGGATTTAAAAGGGGGACAATATATAAATTGACTCATTAAGTTAAAAAAAGTAAAGGAAGCATGGTGGCACACCCCTTTAATCTCAGCACTTGGGAGGCAGAGGCAGGGGGATCTCTTGTGAGATCAAGGTCAGCCAGGTCTATATAGCAAGTTCCAGGCAAGGTGGGGCTACAGGGAGACCCTGTCTCAAACAAACAAACAAAACTCAAAGTAAAGAAAATTATTAGCATTCAACTGGTTTTAAACATATCAACTTTCAACATCTATGAACTCAGAATCTCAAAAAAGACATGGGATTCAGTTGCCAGCCCTGTTAAGTTTTGGCAGCTGAGAGCCAGGAAAAATGACTTTTAAAGACACCCAGATTGTCTGTGAACTTGGACTAGTCTTGCCGGATGAGTTTCTGGGTAGCCTGTATTTTGGCAAGTCTGGCCTATTGGGCCATAGCTTAGAGTATGGGGGGAGGGGTGTGTGTCTTGGGGTTGGGTATGTGATAGTATGTGTTCCTAACACCCACCTTTCCCTTTGAAAGTTTGGGGCCTATGAACCTCACAACTTCCTGGGTAAAGTTTTAGGCTTGGAGACTGGACAGTTAAGCCTCACAGGGCAGAAACTCTGTTCATGTCATTCTCTCACTGTTCCAACCCCAGGACAGATGGTTCTTCATAAACATAGGAGTGAACACACAGCCTGGACCATTCAGTTTTGCAATAGCGAATTCAAGTTGCCAAGGACGACATTGATTTTGGAAAACTTATTCCAACTTAGAAAAGTTCCTTGCAGGTTTTCAAAGCAGACTCATAAGGATGTGGGGTGATCTCCAATGACATGTGAAGGGCCAGGTGCATTGGTCATACTGACGACCATGTAACAGGAGCATAGAGGCATTGCTTTGCAGGTGGAGGGTTTTGTGGTTTTTTTTTTTTTTTTTTTTTTTTTTGGTCTTTTTGAGACAGGTTCTCCCTGTAGCCCCAGCTGTCCTGGAACTCACTATGTAGACCAGGCTGGCCTCGAACTCACAGAGATCCACCGCCTCTGCCTCCCGAGTGCTGGGATTAAAGGCGTACACCACCACGCCTGGCTGCATGTGGAGTTTTTAACTGGACTTAAGTCTCCTTTGTCTCTTCTGCAGAGAATCAAGAAAAGACAGAAGAAGATGAGTACGAAGAAAACTCACACCTCAACTCAGTTCCTCATTGGATCAACAGCAATACGTTAGGTCAGTCAGGTTATGCTTAAGATTCTTTTCACTCTTCCTAGCCCCTCCAGGTAGCCCAGACCTGCACTCTCCTCCATGGCGACTACACGTAGGTGTTGAGCCACTAAGCGGTTGAAACGTGGTGGGTCCATGTGAGATGTATGGTGAGGTTCTAAGACTCTGCCTCAGCTACAGTAACTCAGAAGTTTTAAAATGAGACCAAGGACACATAACCTATCTCTTGATGACTTAGGATGCTGTTTATGTATTGAAGTGATCCTTTGGGTCCATTAAAATGGAACATTAAATTCATCTCTTGCATTTTTAACACGGCCACTGGAAAACTTAGAAGTGCATAAGTGACTTGTGTCATTGGTCAGCCCTGTGCTTGACCATTTTCTGTGGTGAATAAGAAGTGGGTAGACATTAATCTACTAGGACAGAGGAGGTGGCTGGTGCAGGTGTGTGAAGCCAGTCTGACCTTGGCTCTTAGGGCTGCTGTCACAGAATGGGGTCTGTTGGGAATGGCTCACAAGAAGGTCAGATATGGTTCATGGGGAGTCTAGCTGCCACAGCTCTGACCTTAACAGCTCTGTCTTCTGATCCATCATTGTGTTTAGGCTTCGGTGTGGAGCAGGCTCCCTATGGAATGCTGGCACAGAGCTACCCCAAAGACAGCCTCCTGGACGGCATGTGTCCACCATCTGCGACACCTGGCGCACTTGGCTCTGAGCAGGAGTTCCAGATGCTGCCCAAGTCACGGCTCAACACCGTCAGTGTGAACTACTGCCCCGTCAGACAGGACTTCACCAGCAGCAACTTGAATCTGCTCGCCAGCAGTTCTGGTAAGAGAACATCTTGGAGCAAGGCTGTGGGTTTGTTGGAAGCCGTTCGAAATGTGAGCTTCTTAGCAAACATGTCCTGTGGTCAAAGGACAGATCCGTATTCCACTGGGCTTTCGGAAAAGGCCTCACAGCCAGCTTGAAACACTGGCACGGGTTCTCCAGGTGTTAAGTGAGCAGAGCACAGTCACGCGCTTTGAGGCTGACCTCCTCCCCTAGGAGTGCTCTGTGGGGACCTTGTGGGACGGTGCCACATTCCTTTTTCAGCAGCTATAACATCTACAGTCCACACCTCTTGGGTTTTACAACTGGTTGAATTAATGCGTATGTGCACACACCTGTGTAAAGTTTCCTTCATAGCCCTTCCCAGCTATAGCATCCTCTTTACAAGAGGAAGAAGACATTCTGATTTTTCATCATCATGGATGTCCTGGGGCTTCACACAGATGGACTCTTGCAGAGTCTATTATTTTGGGGGTTTGTCTTTGTCCGTCACTATATAGGGACTTCATCCTTGTTGTAGCATTTGTTCTTTATCATGGCTGTAGAGTGTTCCGTCCCATGAGGCTGTACTTTACCCACTCTTCTGACTGCAGAAGGTGTGATTTGAATGTAAACTTGTCCTGAGAAATAGGCCCCCGAGTTGAAGAGCGTTTGGGGTTGTGTGTGGCTGCACTAGAGGTGGTTGGCAGTGGGTGGGGCCCAAGACCCACCTGTGTCAATGACACAGTCTCATCACGCACTGGCTTGTCTTTGCCAGGGAAACCCAAGGACCACGACTCCTCTGAGAATGGCACGGACAGCTTTGAGAGCTCCGACTCACTCCTGCGGTCCTGGAACAGTCAGTCGTCCCTGCTGGATGTGCAGCGGGTACCTTCCTTCGAGAGCTTCGAGGAGGACTGTGGTCAGTCCTTGTGCCTCAGCAAGCCAACCATGTCCTTCAAGGACTACATCCAGGAGCGGAGCGACCCAGTGGAGCAAGGCAAGCCGGTTATCCCGGCGGCTGTGCTGGCGGGCTTTACCGGTGAGTGCGTGCCTCCAGCAGCTTGGCCCCTGTGGGCTCCTCTGTGGCTGCCTACCCAGTGCAGCTCTGTTATTTACCCTCCACGTTGTATGTGAGGTTCACTACGCTGGCTCCCACCGGCCGGACAGGCAGGAGTCTTCATGTGCCCGGAACTTGGGGGTCGGGGAGGATCCCGGGCCACTCCCTGCCTGGGACATGAGGTAGACTAGGAGGAGGGATCAGACTCTGGTCCTCAGCTCTGACTCAGCTGCTGGATCTCCAGGAATGTAAACTGGCTCTGGGAGGGCGGGAGCTGGTCCCGGGTAATACCAGAGCTGTTGACCTCTCATGGCCTCCAAAACCATCTATTTTTCGGGTTTGGGAGCAGAGAAGTATTAAAGCTGTTTTGGAACCAGGTAATTTTTAAGGGGGAGCAAGAAAGCCAAGAATTTTCATTCCCCTTGCTTTGTGCACCCTTATATAGAGCGTTTTTTCATTTGCTGGTCATACGGAGCTACTGTGAGTTAAAAAAATGTCAATGAAAAAGTGTAAGTATAGATTAAAATGGGGATATTTTTCCATTGTCTAAAACAACCACATAAATATATGAAAATAACTCACGAAGAGGCTCAGACCTGAGGTTGTTTTGATACGTTAGACGTTCAGGGCCTGGTAAGAAAACCCCCAATCTTAGGGCCTTGTACCTCAGTATTAATAGTATTAACAGGTTGACTGCCAGCTCCTGGTGGCTAGCCAGGCCTGTGGCCTGTGGTACCAGCTGGTGGTGAAAGCCCACTGGGGAACTGATTCAGAGGCGACGGGCCCTGGTGGACACTCGGGTGAGCCCACAGTGGGTCAGTTTTCTACAGCTCTTTTTTTGTTCCTCCCGAAGCTGTTTTGTATTTGAGGGTGGAGGTAACACTGCTTGGGGAGAAGACGCTGGGCTTAGCATTAGAAACCCCTGATGGGTGTGTGGCCCGGAATAGGATGCTGGCCTCTGAGCCCCATCTTTCTTAAGGTGGAGGTTTAGCGTGCCCATGGTGTGAAGGCATGGAGCTGACCCCGTATGCCTGTCATATACACCAAGTCTCACATGAAGCAATTGGCTTGTGGTCATGAGGAATGCCTTATCTGTAACACAGTGGCCTTTGAGCATCCACCCCAGTCCTACTGGGTGTTTCTAGAAATAAACCTTCAAGGTTCTTAGACCGGAAACTGCTAAACAGCAGGAGCAGCTCAGGAAATGCGTTGGCTGGTGGCGCGGACTTCTTTTGCAAGAGTCGAGGGTGGGAGGAAGAACCCGTGGCCTTGTCCCATTGAAGTGTCTCCTAGGCCTCCAGCACCCTGAGGCCCACCTTTCCATCGGAGCACAGTGCCCAGTAGGGTCCACGTTCTCAAACCAGCCTGGTCACTGAGGGGTCAGAGCACTGCCAAGTCTGGAGACTCCCTAAGTAACCCATGTTCTTCTCCCCCAGGAAGCGGACCGATTCAGCTGTGGCAGTTTCTCCTGGAGCTGCTGTCAGACAAATCCTGCCAGTCATTCATCAGCTGGACAGGCGACGGATGGGAGTTCAAGCTTGCTGACCCCGATGAGGTACGGACACTCCCTACTCTGAACCCCCACTCAATTTGTTGGGTTCCAAAGCTGACTGATTCAAGGAAGGTCACCAGGGCCAGCAGGAGCCCTCCTCTGCCAGCCTCCGCTGGCTCTTGGGCAGACTGAACAGCAGCCTCAGCCTCGTTGAAGAATTGGCCTGGTGCCCTCTGTCACACAGGGAGACTTCCTCCTCTTCCTCTGTTGTCTGTCGGAGGCTCTCTGGTGGCCCTCAGCAAGTTCTGTAGAGAGTTCACCTTTGTCTCACATTGGAGAATCAAGACCTATAGCCACTGGGTAGCCCTCAGGGCTGGCACTGAAGCTTCCTGCTGGAGAATGCGCCAGCAGACATGAGGCCAGCCACTCTTGGTCTCTGGCATCGCTCTTGGTCTCTGGCATCGTAGAACGTACTGTCACCTCCTCTGTTGTCTGGGGGAGTAAGTGAGCCTCAAGAACCAGAGCTGTCTCTTTAGCTGTTAACTTGGCTTGAGATGTGGCTCAGTCGGCAGATGCTTGCCTAGCATGCTCACAGTCCTGGGTTCCATCCCCGGGACCAGATAAGCCAGGTGTGGTGGCACGTGCCTGGAATCCCAGCACTCGGGAGGTGTAGGCTGGAGGTCCAGAACTTCAAGATCACCCCTAATTACATAGTAAGTTCCAAGCCAGCCTAGGCTACCTGAGGCCCTGACTAAATTAAAGAATCAGCAGGTGTTCTTCTGCCTCATGCTCTCCTGGTTTTGAACTGTGGTTCCCTGGAGGCTTCGCTGGGGGTGGAGACACTGTCCCTTGTATAGAGAAACAGCTGAGGAGACAGTGCCCTGGTGGGTATTTAAAGTAACTCCAGCAGAGCCTCCATGGGTTTTCATGACTGTCAGGTTCTTTGGGGTGAGCACCCAGGGTCAGGAGAGACATTTCCCACTGCAGAGTGGACACATGTGACTCTTGTTCCCTCTTGTCTCCGAAAGGTGGCCCGCCGGTGGGGGAAGAGGAAAAACAAGCCCAAAATGAACTACGAGAAACTGAGCCGAGGCTTGCGTTACTATTATGACAAGAACATCATCCACAAGACATCGGGCAAGCGCTATGTGTACCGCTTTGTGTGCGACCTGCAGAACCTGCTGGGGTTCACTCCTGAGGAACTGCATGCCATCCTGGGTGTCCAGCCCGACACAGAGGACTGAGGCCCTTAAGGCGGCCCTGAGCCAGCCCCGGGCCCCGGGGACTGACCCGGAAGCCCATCCTGACCCACTGCACAGACCCTGGGAGGGCAGAATGGAACCCCTCCAGGAAAGTCGCCCCTCAGCAGTGGCCGTCTTTCATCTGAACCGCGCCTCTTCCACAAGGCCGTCTCCCCCGTGGCAGAAGGTGGCTCGGCTTCTCTGTCCTGCAGGGTGACATGGAAGGGAGGGAAGAGGTGCTGGGAAGCCACCCTGGCACGGTACAGGCTGTGTGGCGGCAACATCTGTACAGCTGTTTGGGATGCTCCAGGGACTCGTGGATGCACAGACACCGAAAAACTTGTTTTTCCTTTGGCCTTCGCAACCAGGAGTAACAGATGCAAAGCTATCTCTGCTTGAGAGAGGGCTAGGCGGGTGGAGAGGAACGATCGCACCATTTCAGAAATCCGTGTGTATATATTATTGTATCTTGTAATGTTGGAATCCTCTAACAGTTCTATTTAATTGTATATTGTAATTTAATTATATAACGGTGTTTGAATCAAGAATGCAGATACCTGGTATGTTAGCTATTTTTCTTTTTTTCAGTAGCACATAGGAATGTCATTTTACAAAGATTTGATCTCCTGGGGTCCCACTGAGAGAAACTGTAATATATGTTCTATTGTCATCTGACATACCGACAGGAATGGGTCTGAGGGGTGACCCCTGCTTTTTACTTTTTTTTGTTGTTATTTTTGTTCGCCCTTGCTTATTATCTGGCCAGGACTTTGTACATGTGGGTTTTTTATAAGAAACTTGTATTATTTGGGGGTGCATCTGGCCTCTCCCCACTTTCTCCTGGATTGTAGAGTAAAATATAGAAACAGTATTTTTCTTGACAAATGGCACATGTTTCCCACTTCTGCACGCCTTAAGTCGTTTATACACAAATGTATTTTTTGGTGTAGCCGTGATTTCCCGGCAACTCGCCTCTCCTTGCCAGCCATTTCCTTCCTGCGCCCCAAGGTTTTCTGTGTGACTACAATAAGACTATTTTTGGAAATATATGACTCCTTTTTCAGCGATCAGAAGGGATTTATGTAGCAGCTATTTTTACTGCAAAAGTAACTCACTGGAAAAAAGTTGTAATTTGTACAAAAGCTTTATTTTTATCTCAGCTCCGTGAAACGTGTTGTGCGGAGCTGAGGGCGGGGCGGGAAGGGTCTTCCTTCAGCCTTGACCCCAAGTGAAGCTTGGCTCCCCCTTCTCGCTTACCTGCCGTGCCTCTTATGGTCTGGGCCGCATGCTCTTCCTCCTGCTCCCTGACCTCCGCAAGATAGGCTTTTTTTGTCTTATTTTCTTGGATGCGGGTACCCAGAAGCACAGAGTGGCCAAGTCAGACAGGAGAGAGACAGTACATTAGGGTGGTTCCTGCGTCTTACCTGATGAAGACCCAACTCCATCACTGGGTCCCAACCTTCCTCACGAGGTTTCAGAAGTGGACATGGCTTTTATCAGTTACCAGCAGGGCAGCCCCAGGCCAGCGGGTGACAGGAATAGAGTCATTATATGATGAGACCACACAATGGACACAAGACAAGCTGGGATCTGCTGGTCCCGGGCTGTCTGGGTCTTCTCTTCATGCCCAGAAAAGACTGCAGTACAGTTAAGCACAGATGCCTTTCAAGTGGGACCTATTTATCGCTGGGACATCTGTTTATAATATAAACAGACATGTGACTGGGAAAACGTTGCTGCTGAAAGCTCAGCTGTGGGCTCGGTTTATAGGATACTCAGCTACATGAAACTGCCGGGTTTAGCCTGGTTTTTGTCAGCCGAGATGGCAGTTTTATGTGGGTGAACCTAATGGCGGGAAGTCCGTAGAAGCCTTTGAAATGGTCACGGATGGCTCTAAAGTATAAAAATTTTGTAATTTGGCCTTTTGTTTCTCAAATAATAAAGTATTTGGTCTATGCTAATGCCTCCTTGCAGTCCTTCTGTCCACCTGCCACATGGCAGGGGTGAATGAGGATTTTAACCCATTCTGTACCCATAGCTGCATGCCGTGATCTCCCAGTCTGCAACTGGTCAATCCCAAAACAAGCCAGGCTGGAATGTCCAATGTTTCTTCTTGTGAAAAATTCACCTAGGAAAGGGTTGGTGTAGAAAGAGCAGAGGTTTGAGAGAGGTTTTAGGGAGCTTGTGCGGAACATTAGGATTTGAGGTTGAAGCATCTTCGTTGTCCAAGACCGTTCTGGTGTTGGTAAGGTGACAAATGTGGACGTAATAGAGGTCATGTGCTCTTCTTCCCAAGATGTCTCTACACTCTAGAATTCACAAAGACACTAACAAACTTGAGTCAGAACAACTGGTATGCTAAAGGCAGCTCAGTGTGGCTCCAAGGGCTGGGTGACACACCTCCAGAGTTCTTTGTGACAACATCAGCGCTGTAGGGACCAGCAGATGCTACAGCCAGCCCCTCACCTTCAGGGAGCTGGTGGTTAAACGCCAGCAAACCACTAATTATGTCTGTCCCTGGTAACCATATTACAAATTAAATGTTAAAGCATTGATTCAGGACTGCGGAGATGGCTCAGTGGTTAAGGGCACTTGATGCCCTTGCAGAGGACTTGGGCTCAGTTCCCAGCACCTACCAAATGCAGCTTACAACTCTCTAACTCCAGTTCCAGGGGATCTGATATCCTCTTCTGGTTGCCACAGGTTCTGCATGAACATGGTGTCCATAAACCATGTGTGTGAGTACTCACACACAAATTTTTTTTAATCTTTTAAAAATTTCATTTCAAAATAATGCATGACATAGTAGCATAAACGGTAAAAAAAAAAAAAAAAAATGCAGCATTCTTTGCTGTATTTCTACATACCTTCAATGAATGAGTTCCTGGGTCTGTATTCAATCTGCCCTGACCTGATCTGGTGAGCAGATGAAGAAAGTCAGGCCTAACACAGATACATAACTGATTCAAGGAAGAGCATTCCAAGGTTGTTGCCAGGTAATTACAGATTTCTATATGATGCCAGAACTCACACATGGTAACGAGGGGAGATTGACTGCAGTTGGACGAAACCATACCAGTAAGTGTTCCTATGGTTACATTCTATCCCATGGGTCTATCTTGGATCTTTTGTCCAGGTGTGATTTTGTACTGTGTATTTGTCATTTGGAAAATACTTCAAATGATGACACATTTTTGTAGGCATAGTCAAATGATGACAGTACTTAATATCACCACCATTCTTTACAGAAAAGCTTCAGGAAGCCTATCAGACTCAGTGAAATAAATTTCAAAAGATTTATATTTTCTCTTGAAAGTTCAACTTTTTACCATCAGTAACCAATTTTTCCTTAAATTACTTTCTTTGAAGTATCAACTTTGTCTCATTTACTTTTAAGAACTAACCTGACAAACACCCAAGACCACATAGAGATAATTTGCCAGCTGTTCATTCAGGTAAAAATGGTATTTGTGAATGAAGTGGTTAGTTTAGCTTGTAATTCAAAACACCACTGCACTTTCTTATGGCGGCCACTGAATTCATTCCGTATTCATAGACTTTGATTACAGGGAAGCTAAAGAGAGGTATGTTCTGTGGGCAAAAGAATCTTTAAGGGCTGCATTAAAACCATTCTCACATGAGACTTCTTTTTTCTTTCTTTGTGTTATCAGTGTGATGACAGTCTGCTCTGACCCCTGAAGAGACAGCACAATCTTAACTATCTCTGTCTTTGCACCATCAAAGCCAATGTCAACACAGGAAAAAGAGTAAACAGATTGGAATTATTGCAAAACTTTTTGACCTTAAGGGTAGCCATGAGAGAGTCCCCCCCAAGGACCATGAGAAAGAGGCTTGCCTAGAACAAAAAAGGATAAACTATGGGGAAGTAGGCGGATTACCCCTGGCGTCCTCTAACCCAGTGCCTGTGATTCCAACTTTCATAGTTGAGGATGCAATTTTTACTTAAAATAAATAAATACTCTCAAAGTCCCCTTTTTTCCCTTTATGATGCTCTATTCCAATTCTAAAACGTTTTAGAAAAAGGTATATTTTATCACAAATTTTTGCTTGTTTAGAATCATACTGAGTAATAAGTGTCTGTTTAATTCTAGTGTCAGCTTTAAATCCATTAAACCCAAATACTTAGATAATATCTTATAAAGAGGAAAGGCTCACTTGGGCCACAGTCTGAGAGGTGTCAGTCAGGCTCAGCTGACCTCCCTGCTTTGCAACTCTGGTGAGCTAATGCATCCTGGGAGATTTTAGCACAGAGCAGAAGAGGAAGCAGCCAGAGTCTCAGTGTCCTAGTGATCTGAGACCTCTTGATGGGCCCCAGTGGTGACCAAACCTTCCACAAGTGGCCTTTGAAGACATTCAGTATGAAACCAAAGCAATACAGTGATGGGGTTCTACGCACCATACCCAGGGGCCTGTGAGATGGCTCAGTGGGGATAAGTGCCGGCCTCCCAAAACTGACGACCTGAGTTCAACCCCCCAAACCCAGGGTGGAAGGAGAGAGCCGACTCCTGAACATCGTCCTCTGACAGCCACGCCTGTGCTTGGGCACACGCGTGTGCACACACTAATAAAAGGGTTTTGTTTTGTTTTAATGTAAAGCTTTTTGTTGTTTTCCCTTTTTGGTTCTTCCTTAGGGATGGAACCCAGAGTCTCGGGTTTCTTAGGGAAGAGTCTACACTGAGCCATGTCCCCCACACATGAGTCATCTAAGACACTCTAGGCCAGGCTGAATTTAAATACTAGAAATACTACATTCTGTCCTTTAACAATTCTAATATTTTCTCTGAAAGTACACAAACACGGCATCGCCTTATCACATGACTATAAAATACCCACTCCAACCCCCCTTGAAGCAGCAAGACTTAGTACTAGGTGACTAGTTGCTTATGAAGACATTGTCAATTCAGGTATTTATATTTGTGACTGGTTTCAAGTCAGTATTATAATTTTATAACATTCACAAAGTAATAGAAGGAAGGGAAATGACATATGTAGACAGCCAGTTTTTCTTTAAAAATTTTTATTACAGGCTGGAGAGATGACTCAGTGGTTAAGAACACTGGCTGCCTTTGCTGAGGACCTGGGTTCGAGTCGCAGCACCCACATGGCAGCTAAGAACCTTGGGTAACTCCAGTTCCAGGGGAATCTGACGCCTTCTTCTGACCTCCTCAGGCATTGCATGACATGGGTGCACTTACACACATGCAGGCAATACACTCATACACATCAAATAAAAATAATTTTAAAAAATTAAAATTTTTTATCACATTTATTTGTGTGTGCATGTATATACATGTAACAGTGCTCATGTGGAGGTCAGGAAACAATTTTATTTTTATTTTTATGTTTTTGAGTTAGGGTCTCTCTGTAGCCCCAGCTGGCCTGGAATTTGCTTATGTAGACCAGGCTGACCTCGATCTTACGGAGATCCACCTCCCTCTGCCTCCTGAGTGCTGGGATTAAACATGAGCCACCACGCCCAGCAGAGAACAATTTTTTAAGAGTCAGTTCTCTCCTATCACCAGGGCTCCTCGCCAGGCTCAGCGGGAAGGGCCTCCTTTACTCACTGAGCCACCTCCCCAGCCTCACATGTTTTTCTTAGAATACTCCAAACAGAGATCCTGACAAGTTGAGATGCTATCTGGAGGCCTCTCTGTGTAGGAATGAACACTGGGGAGGGGGGGCAATGGCACATGCCTATAATCCCAGCACTCAGGAGACAGAGGCAGGGGGGTTGTCACAAGTTGAGAGCCATTTGCTCTATATAATGAGTTCCAGGACAGCCAGAGCTACATAGTGAGACCCTGTCAAAATAAAAGGCAAGAAGTGAAATGAAATCAAGCCACTTTGGGTTTATTCCACCTTCTGGCTGCCCCTCACATAGTGCCCTCCAGCTTCCTGTTCCAGCAGTGCTCCAGAACAGTGGAGGGTAGACACTCCTGGCAGACAATAATTCAGAGCCCGCTGAGGCAGATCAGTGGGGTGTGTGAGGCATGTGGTATAGAGTGGTAAAGAGGTGAGTTAGGAGCCTAGTACAGGTCCAGGTGGAAGACCAGACTGCCTCAGTGCCTCCCCCTGGAAATGTGGAGCTCACTGACCAAAGGTTCAGTGTGCTTTAGAACCAGTTGGGTCTCTCTCACCAGCTCTGCCTTGTGCTGCTGCATACTGTGTGCAAGCTTAAGGCATGTGATGAAGTTTCTCTGCCTCAGTTTCCACTTCATAAAGTGGAGTCAGTGGTCCACTGTGGGTGGATTAATCTCATCAGTGTAAGATGCTATACCATTAGTAACCTGGGGCAGCAGGGGGCACTGGAGGCATGAATAGAGCCTTCCAGTCAAGGTATGCTGAGCTGGTGGGTGCGGGGGTCTGTGAAGAGGTTAGGGTTCCTAACAGTCATCTCTGTTTTCAAAAGAAACAACCCAGTGCAGAGGCCGGTTAGAAAACTGGTCATTAACTGAATCAGGACTGATTCCCAGGGCCCTGTGTCCTGGCAAGGGGTTCTCTGGCCACGGGAACACCAGATGCTAATGATCTGAACTCAGGTTGAATTTACATTCCAAGTTGCCCCATATCTTTGTGGCTGATGTGGGGTCCAGAAACAAGGACTTTCCAAGTGTTTTGCTCTCATGAGCCCGCTAACATCATCATAGGAATGGGTTCCTGACTCAAGGTTCCCTCTGCCTCACACATGGTCTCTTGCTGTTCCGCCCTGTAATGATGCATCAAGAAGACCCTCACCAGATGCTGGAGCCTTGACGCTGGACCTCCCAGCTGCCAGAATAGTGAGAAACAATTTTTTTTCTCTTTAGGAATTGCCCAGTCTATCTTCTGTTATAACAACAGAAAATACTAAAATGTGGAGTTAGAAATTTTTGTCTGTTATTTGAGACAAAGTCTCACTTCATAGCCCAGGCTATCCTCTAACAAAGCAGATACTTCC